CGCAAAATTCAAATTATTTTAAAAACAAAAGAAATGCCGACGAACGAATAAGAAATTCGTCAGTATTTTTTTCACTATTTGAAATCGATAAATAATAATTTCTTTTTAAGTTAAAGGAGGGTCGTAAATGTTATCGAGGATATTTTAAAGGTCAGCTTTGAATTTTTAACAAGAAAACAGAAGAAAAATGCCACAGCAGAGGCTGGAAAGCCGTGACATAAACCATACAACTCCACTCATAACAAACAGGACAATTCTATAGGGAAAACGACGCCAACTTCATTTAGGAAATTGGCTAAGAGATAATAAAAACAAACCGACGTTTATGTTTCTCTTCGGTTATGTTAAATTGCGCAATATTCCCCGAAAGAAAATTATCTTTTATGGCGCAGATACAGGAAAAACATGCAAAAATTCTTCGGCACGGATCGATCCCGAAACATTTGAAATTAATCATCTTTTTTTGTAATAAAATCTCTTCTCGATATAACAAAACACAGAAGAAATCGACTCGGAATAATAAGTTAATTATCTTTTTACGATTAAACTCCTTTCTCTACGCAATATACGGTATAATGGAAACCGTCCTCGTTATATACTAGAGTCATGGATGCTTAGATCCACGTAAGACATAATGGACGTATCCTCCAATATTTCTGTCCCCCTCCCAACGTATTTAATTTATACCCTATAACAAAAGGAGTAGAAATGAGTACCGCACACAACAATACACCTTATTATTATTAATATATATATATTTTTTTAACCGCTGAAAGTCCCCAATTGTCATTGGTCCCCAATAACTGAGGGGTCAATGATCGAAGCCGAAGGCATGACTATGTAATATACGTGTCTGACTACGGTATACGGATAGCACGCAATTCAAAAGTACCAGATACTACACGTTAAAGTACACAAGAAATAGGTTTAAACAATATTATTGCCTTTGTAGTATCTTCAGTAGTAATAAGTAATAGTATCTTCGGCTTTTGTAGTAATTTCTTTCAGTGTAAGTGAGAAATATGCAAAGATTATGTATGATTGGCAGTGACTTCTAAAATTAGCTTTCGGAAACGAATTTCATTAATTGCATTCAGAAATAATGTACGGACGTACTCGAATCAATACCACCCAAATCCTACTAAAATTTAATTCTACAAATGACCCAGAAGTCGATTAACTGTGCTTTTTGCATGTTCTAGCCGCACAATACCGATTATAAATTAAGTTTAGAGTGGTGGAAGCATGATAAAATATATATGTAATTAAACTTTTGAAACGGTTAACTAACTTTTGCGCCAGCGTGTATGTCAAATTATGTAAGAAATCGGTGGAAGAGACGTGTAAAATAGTAACCTCGGCAACGATTCGTCTCGTCCTTGAAGGAACCTTAATAAAACGGGTCGAGTAAACGAAACATACTTGCAGACTGTTTAATTTGTAAATATAAAGCGAAGTTTTCCTAATCTCCATCGTGTCAAACGTAGACAACGTTGCAAAAATAAATTAATTCCCCGACTTTTCCTCTTATCGTGTTTACTTTAATGCCCGGTGTCGGTTATAATAATAAAATATAACAGTTTTGGTATTTATAAAAAGGGCATTTCTGTCTAAATTACGTGCGTTATACCCAGCAAATCGAGTGTAAAATTTACTGAGGGGGGGTGATTGATTAAGCGGGAAATTTCATTTTTTTAATTTATTATCGTAGTGTCCGATGCTCCATACTTCGGCATGCATCAATTATTAGAGCATTACCGGATAAATTATACTTCAATTTAGGAGTTCCGGACAACCTAATTTATCGATTTTACTCTTTGCTTAATACCTAGAAGGTAGTCGTAATGCAGTTTATGAGAAATAAGTACGTAACGGGCAATTACTTGTGACGTCACAATGCCGGGCCGCAATTTTTAATCGTACTTTAAAGTAAGCCCTCCGTATCTGTTCTGGATTTTCGTCAATCTAACTCCATTCTGGAGAAAACTTTGAACTAAAATCGCGTGACTTCCGGTGGAAAGTCCCTCTCGAGAAGTTATTTTGTGATTAAAAAAAAATTAATTTTAGGAGGTTTTAAAGGGAAATAACCAGTCGACGTGCGATTTGTTTACTTAATATTCTCATCGATCGCGTAATAAAAATTAAAAATTCGGTTCAAAGCTTTTATTAAGTGAGAAATTCTATTTGTAATTTTCACACGCGAACTTTTTCGTATAAAAAAAATCGCTTGTTAAATATAATTTTGATTATTATATCTGAAGTTTTAATTATGATAACTGTATATAACTTTAAAACTATTCGTAACGAGCAATTATTTATTGTTACATCGTCAAATTGCCGGGTTACGATTTTTAATTTATTTCATTTAATATATGTTCTCTCCACCTCAAATTAGTAGTGGATGGCACCTGTACAGTACATCATACTTTTCCTTTAACAGTACATTCGCGCCAGCTATCTATCTAACGCCTTTCAGGAGAAAAATTTTTGAACTGTTCTCGAGATTAAGGAAAGACTGACACACGGATTGAACTGGAATTTATAGGTCTACATTTTTTTTCAAATTGCATCCCAATTACAAAGAGATTATCCATATACTAAGCGTCCTCCTGACGAATGCGCGTGCAGATCTTGGCCACAAATATTAGACAACACACGTGACTTTTCGACTCAAACTGGTGGGTAGATCTCTAACTTAACGTCGAACTTCGATTTAGCGCCGTTCGAGCGTTAAATAGAGGTTGGGCTAAACTGGAATACTTCAAACGAGTTCGAGTTTAAAAGTCACTACCTGCAACGCAAAATTACTCACTCGAAGAATTCTTTATTTAATGTTTACGGGAAAGATTCGTTCACGAGTACTCATTGATGCTTTACAAGGATGACACTATTTAGAAGGACGTCATTATTCCAAATCGATTTGTAAGAGGCGAAGAAACAATGGAGCTAAATATAAGTTACGCATAAAACAAAACAAAAAAAAACATTTACGCAGAATTGAACAACTACAAAAACAATACTTCTCATCAAAATTGTGGTACGAGGAGAACAAAATATAAAATTTATAAATTAAATATTACTAGAGCCATACATCCACTTTTTTTAAAAACATATTTAACTCGAGGGTTCCTTCTTGAATAATTTTGACTATCGCCTCTAGTGATGTTTCGAAAATATATACAGAAAAAACTTATTTCTACAGTCCTTATAAACAACAAATATCAAAAGTTGCTTTCTGTTAAGGTCGCTATAGTAAACACGACCAAACAAACAAACACGCCCACGCGTACCAACAGACAAACAAACTCACTCAAAACTACTGAAACTCTATCGAGGAGAACCGGAAACTTAAACTCGAATACAAAAATCTAGAAAGAAAAATAATAAAAAGAGCATTTTTCTACTATGCAAGGAAGCAAGAAGTCACTACAATTTGTTACGTGACTTTTCGATTGTCCTGTATTGTTTCGTATAGAGTAAAACAATAGTATAGAGCCGTTAAACTGTATAGTTGAAGTGACTAGTTACGTTTTGTGGCTGTATAATCTTTATATTTTACTATCGACGTAACAATGAGGTATGACCGAGCACCTACGTGACAGATGATATGACGTGATTATTTTATGTTACTAAAACAGAAAAATTATGGAGATAAAAACTGTAATAAATTTAATAATTATTCATTTAAATAACACAGTTTGGTGGCTGTAACCTTTAAAGTTAAAATAATTCTCGGAATAATTGGAATTCGAGTAATTACAATTTGCATTTCAATCTTAATTATAGAATAATTCAGTTTTGTGGCTCCGTAAACTTTATTTGAATATTATAATTATTCCAAAGGTAGAATAATTCCGTAATTAAAGATTATTCCTATCTTTAATTATGGAATTAATCAGTTCTGAAGCTAATTTTTTTTTAAAAGACATTTTTTATTTTCATTTTTAATGAATTTTCCGCCATTTTTTTTACTACGTAATACGTATTTAAGCACGCATATCATTAAATTTAATTTCAAATCAGAAAGAATACTCAGGAATTAATTCATGTGCAAAATCGAGACGGTTTAATATACAGTACTTTTAAACCGTTTTTCTATACCCAAACACTATTTCAAGTGCACATATTAAAATTGTAGTTTACTGACGTTACAAGTGTGGTTAAAAGATTCAATTATTCATTTTACATCCTTAAACTTTAAAATTTTATATCATTGATAAGCGTAGAAGAAAGTAAAAACTAAAATAAAATTCAGCAACGAGTTGCGCAACTTTCCCGGCGAGAGTTAAAATTGTGTGTGGCGCCATCTGTTAGAGATTTTATTAAAAAACCTTTAAATTAATTAATTATTGTATTATAAATTGGCAAAAAGCTTAAGTTTGAGGGTAGAGATGAGTTTTGTTCTTAAAAAAAATTACAATTGCTAATAACGAGTAAAGTCTTCATTGAATCGCTCGCGGTACGACACAAGACCCCCCTTCTATCTCCTCACCTCGTCGACCTTTAACCACCAAAATTTAGTAGCATCGACCTCCCCAATAGGCAAACCTCCTTGCCAAATTTCAGAAATTTTCGACGAAAGGTACGAAAGTTATTAACCTTAAAAGTTAATGAGCCCCTACACACACAAAAAAAAACCCCAATTTTTTGCATTTCTCGACATTTGGAGGTGTAATTTCTACTGTACTTCTGAATAATACAGTATAAATAGTATAAATGAAGTACCCTAAACAGTTAATTTCTTACATTTTTAATAAACGAATTATACAGGATGGCCTAAAAGTCAGTAAACGAATGTATAGGGAAAAAAAATCTGTAAGAAAACATTCCAGAAAGAATAATTGCAAACTTAGCACTGCTTAGTTATAATATCAATTTATTTGATCGTCTTCACCAGCACACAAAGCCTCCACTATAAACTTACTACTACAAAACAAAGTTTTAAGGTTTTTAAATGTAAGAGAGATGGAAAAAAAATTTTTACTACAATAATCACTTACAATTTCTATTGATCTTAATGTAACAAAGGATGGGATTACTATTTTATTGTAATATACGGGAGTATCTTCTTCACCTTAAAATAAATAAAATGGTGATGTTTGCACGGAAGAAAATATACTGTAAGGAAAAAAAGAAATTCAACAAGATCGTTTACGAGTTTACTATTTTCTAAGAAATTTATATAAAAACTCATACACAACATATAATCATTCATAACAAAAGCAAAGTATGTCTTTTGTGTATTGTTTTTATCGTGCAATATATATATATATATATATATTTTTTATCTTGTATTCTTTTTATAAATGCCTTTTCTTTGGCCTCGGTAATAAGGCTTATGGCATTTTTTTTCTTTTTTGGGCTTCTCCATGTAGCTTTATCTGTTTTATCGCGAAGGACTTAAAGATAAAAGCGAATTTCTTGGAGCAAAAAACGAAACAATTGATGGTTCCGGCTTAGGTAGGTGATTGATCGTACCGTGAAAGAAAGTAGAAGTTGTAGGATTTCGACAACTCCCAAAAACAAACCGTCCGATTGATCCTTACGTCGATACTTCTCGGATGTGTTTTTTTTTATCTTTACTTTTATTATAATTAATGTGTTCGGACGTTTTCTACCAATCTGTTCGGCTGCCTGTCTGTGTGAATTTCGTATGAATCTATACAAAAACTTCATAACTGTTCTCTAGTACCTTTATAGTAAAAACAAAATAATTATTATCAGATTACGAGTGAAAAGAAGTAACTTTCTATAGTCGAACCTCACGCTTTGAAAGGCGCATAAAGTAACCTCTGAACAATGTTCTCTTCGGTGGCCGTCGTTCAGAGTTTCGACCGAAGTAAATTAACAATAAAAAAATCGGATTTATAAGGGGATAGTTTTTGAAATTCACTCAAATTCACGGTCATTCTAACTGTTTCCACGTAAAAAAAAAAAACTCTCTTTCCGGATTTACTTTTAAGTGCCACTTATTTATTAACTAAAATAAAATACACATATTCTCGGTAGATTCAAATTATTTGCATAAAACATTTAGCAAAATGAGAAAAATTGGATAAAGTTGCAACGTTATTCTTCAATTTGGAAATTAGTTCGGATGTCATTAATTTAAAAACGCTAAAAATAACATCTGGTATTTGTATTCATCATAAAATAATACACACACACACACATATATATATATATTGTTTTATTTTAATAAAATTTCATCACGATTTCTAGAAGAATAAATTAGTTTAAAATTAAAAACTTCTTATAATTAAATGCAGCACTTCTTTATTTATATGCAGTGACTGTTTTGTTCTTCAACAATACAAGTTCTTTTTCTAGGGCATCGTACGCGTCCGAGGACCTAAAAGTGTATGGCAGATGATCCTTTAAAATAACGCATAATACTAGTTACGATGTTACCCTTTGCACAATAGAGAAGTTGCGGCTGAAGTTTCTTTAAAACGTGAACGTCGGCCGCAACCTCTCTAATACCTTGTGTGATGCGAACTTCGCATTACCTAAATTTCCATAAAAGAGGGCCTCGTAAGTCCACATTTTTTCAAGGGCATCGTTCTTTTACACTCACAAATACTGAATATAACCTGTTTATCGCTTATAAAGTATTAAATATCGTGCATAAAAAAAGGGCTTCGTCGCCGTTTACATATTAGCGTGGTTGCGGCCGAAGTTTTCATCTTTAAAACGTGAACGTCGAACGTCGAGCGCTCTATCTTGTAAGCGGTGCTCGACGTTCGACGTTCGCGTTTTAAAGATGAAAACTTCGGCCGCAATCTCTCTGTAATTTAAATATTTTATAACGAATCTCGTTTAAAATCAGTCAAAATTTTTTTAACGAATTTCCAACTGTTATAGTGGCTTTAACGGTTTACAAACGGCTTAAACAGATAGATAAGTTGATAAAATTTGTATATTAAAAAAAAAAAAGAAAAAAAAAATGTGCTCCGAAAGAAAATAATCTCATTAAATTAATCATATTCTTTATCTTGTTTTATTCTACTCGGCGACGGAACATTCAGTGAATATAAAAATAAACAACGAGGAAAGCTTTCAACGAAGTACATACAATGAAAAATTTAAAAAGCAATAACATTAAGGATGCTATTTATTTTTTCAATAATTCAGTAATAAAGAAATTCCAGAGAATAAAAATTTTTTACGTGGAAAAATCGAAAAGCCATGCAGAAAAATATTGTGCACAACAGAATTTCATTAAAGTTTCCTTTAAAATTCGCGTGAAAACAATTACAAAATAAGAACAGCAAGAAGAAAAACGGAAATTTTAATATATTTCTGGTTATTTTTCGCGAAAATCGGCGAAGGATCGATAAGGAAGGGCGCGCAACACCGCATTTTAGATCATAATTACGGGGAGAATAACGTTAAATGTAAGAAAAATGGGGGGAGTTTTTTTTCCGTTCCGAACAACTCTCGGACACGAAAACAAGTTCCGTTCAACTCTGGCCCATTTGGATTCGTTTCAAAACGACGTAACTTCGTAACGGGATTGAAAGATACGACGGAGTCGAGAGATAATACACAGAAGAAACGGGAAGAGGCAAAGAAATGCGAGAAGGAAGACTTTAACAGATTGTGTACGATCCGAATGGAGATCGAGGAAAGTAAAGCTTCCAATACATGTCTCTTGACAGATCGATAAGGATAGGACGTTGACCTGGTGACATCCTCGAGCCCTAGAGAGAGAGAGAGAGAGATAGAAGGCCAAAAGGGAGTTTTAAGTGCACCCAGAATAGTTAGAAAGGGAGCAGAGACTTAACTTTGTTTCCATTCCTATACCGGACCCGAAGAATCTAATTACAACTTGATGAAAAAAAAAAGAAAAATAAGATAGGGTAACTTCAAAAATAACTTTATGGCTTTTTTTCTTATCTGTTTCCGAAACGTCTTATTGAATTTTCCATTACGGCAGATTATTTTCCGCCTAAAAATGTATATTTTATCCTCCCCCTTCTGTTTTAGTCACTTTAAAGTATCTTCTACCCATTTTTATTATTAGTTTCGGCCAGAAACAACTGATATCATCTCCTTTTTTTTTCTAAATTTATCATTAAAAATGTGTATTTATGATACATCACCCGCTTGCAAAAAATAATATCTAGGAGATTTCTTAACAAACAACAACGCCGTGTTTACTTAAATTGAAATTAACCGACTACAATCTAATTTTCGCTCTTCTTAATTCGGTTTAATTAGAAACGAAGCAGAACGTGACCAGATGCAACTGTTAAATATATTACAGAACTACACACACACACATATGTATATATCAATTACACATTCAATTATAATCAATGAAACTTCATATTCTGTAATTAGTTTCTCGAACACTTACAATTAGCACACCTTAACTGAAGAATAACTCGCTTAATACGTCTTTCTTTAAATCGATACTTAACATTAATTAATCCCTGTTAATTAAATTAATTTCCAAGTTACGTGGGGGATTTTTATTTAAGTGTTATTATTAAAACGCGTTATTTTCGAAAGAATGCAGTTATTTAGCGGGCATAACAGAACTTAGAATGTTTCTTACAAGAACTCCTGATATACCTTCTACTGAATGTGGAGCCTCGTACCGTAGGCAGTTATCGATTGCACCGATGTTAAATGTCGATCTAGCACAATTGAAACGTGATGAATACGTGGAGAATTACAAATACAATAGGAAAAAAAAAGCAAAGAATAAATCAAGGTACTTGTAAAATCTTCCAAATTTCTCGATGGTCTCCTTTAAAAGATCTTTAATCTTTAAGTCCACTTAACGAATATTTTTCAAGAGTGGAATTTCTAGTGCTCGGCCTTACATCTCTATCAATTCTGACAATGAAGGTAATAGCTTTTAAAGACCTCTTAATGACTTGTCTCTGGAGTTTATTAATTCGGGTCGATGCCTGCGGTTTCCAAGCTGTCAAACAATCTTTGAAAGTTTAAGTCTAACCCTTCGATGCGGACATCCAATTAAAGTTTTAATGAGTAAAATCACTCGACGAAAAGATAAGTCGCGGCTCGAGTTCCGATACGAACTTCCCTTCTTTCGTAAACAAACAACGAGAGTTTTGTAAATCAACAGAAGTCGAGGAGTGTATAAAATGTTAAAAACGAATTTTATATTTAGAGATTGGAGTATAGGTAACGGCTTGGAAAAAATTCATTTATTGATCTAAACAATACGTGTTCGTAGAGGCAACAAAGAAACAAAGCAATAATGTGTTTTGTGATGTGATCTAAACAATCGAAATATATAAAATGGGATTTTGTTAGGTAAGATAAAGAGAAATCAATGTCAGATAACATTATTTGCAATTAATATATGGGTTTTTTTATTATTATTATTCGGTAACGACATGCAAAAACTATTATTTCTGCGAAAGCTAAAACACTGGAGTCGAAAACAGAACGGAAATATCTCACCAACGAATCGATAATAAAATAATTCTTACTTTTATCCACTAAAAATTTAATATCTTTGCCCATTTTTCTCATATCTGATACGAGATAAATTCCAATATATATATATATAAAGGAGGAGCCGCTTAGCTGGAGCATTGTCCATCCATCCCCTTACGTTAAATGCGTCTTAACACAACAACTGTCTCGGCTTAACGTGTTAAAATCCCTCTCGTATTATCCACATCCGATATTCACACGGCGGTAACATCTTTATATTATGCAATAGGAGCGAGAGAGTGTAGTTCAACGCTTACTAAACTCTCGAAAACAAGCTTTTTAAAGAGAGAAAAATGGTGTCATGACCGGGATAAACAACGTCATAATAGCTTAAAAGTAATAGTGTATAGTTGAGTCGATTAAATTTAGAATGCGTGTTTATTAATAAAAGAATGGAAAGAATTTTCAACACCAGCCACTCACCTCTGTTCCTTGTCGTCTAATGCGTGCTGTTTGAGCCACTGGCGTAAAATGAGTCTCTGGCGCAACTCGCTGCCCGCCAAAACCAGTGTGTGGCGTGTATGCGTCGGAAGACGAGACCACTCGCTGGACGAACGAAGTTGGTGGTGGTGATCGTGGGTTGGATCAATGGTGAGCGAAGCGGCGCATCGGACTAGATCCGTACAACCTGCCAAAATAAGAGACAAAAAAAAATCAGCTTCGTTTAACACCGAAGTGCCTCGTGCGCATCACCTTTAACCGTTACCAGAAAAATACACCCCACGTACAGTACTGTCGGGTGTAACGGTTAATACGAGTCGAAGCACTTAACTAAATTAAACCTTTCGCTAGTACTTTCTTTGTATTTAAAGCCCCGAATTATCGCGGGATAGATAAACAATACGTCACACCAAATGGAATTTTGGCTCCGTACGCTTATATATTGACCGAACGAATCAATGGAATCGCTGGTTACGGGCGCAGCAACAATACGAAATAGGAGAATTATTCAGAAATTTACTAATTTATGAATCTTGTTAGGGATTTCGTTCATTAATTTTGGCAATCGATAAATAAACGTTCGAGTGGCGATAAATTTATTAAATTCTGAAGTTTAGTGCGTGTATTTATATATACAACACGTTCTTCTAAATAAATAAATTCGGGCATAAATATTACTCGACTCTTAAAACGTGCATCTATTTATAACCCAGTTTAAGTACAAGTATACCTTTTAATAGAGTTTTTAGTAAATTTATTAATTAATAAACTCGCATGGTTATAACTTTAACCTAATTAAACTAAGTTTTAATACTGGTTAAAGCCGGATTTTTTTTTACTTGCAAATTTTTTTTTTTTCGTAAATCTAAAGTGATATTTTATCATTTTAATAGCTCCCCTGTGGACGGATTATCATTATTTATACGAATAAAACTACAAAACTTTCATCGAAACGAATATAAACAATTATTTATCTCTTATAAAAGTCGTTAACTTAGCACGGGAACATTCATTTTTACTGCTTCGTTCACGGGATAAATCATTAATCGATCGATCAAAGCAGAAATATTTCTTTAAATTTTAATTAAATTCATTTGTTTTTCGAGCAACTCGCATCCTGTTATTTCTAAGAAACTAAACAGAAAGCGTAAATATTCTAAATAGGAATATTCTATGTAATATTTTAGTACTAGTTCCATTCGTTACTTAGTACAAGTGCACTTAGATTTACTTTTTTGCTGGTGAGATAAATCATTAATCGATTAACGACTCTTCAATTTTTCTAAAAAACAATGCTAAGTCCTAAAATAATAACGAAAATTTACTTTTTCAACGTTCATTTTGTAGCAAGAAGAAGTAAAAATTGATTCGATTTTTTTTTATTTTTATTAACTTAATAATTTTTAAATGATTTTAATCCTATTATTTTTCCAAGAATAAGCTCTCTTCCTACTAAACTCACACCTAAAAATTCCTATTTACGCTTCCTGTTTTCTTCTTACTCGACTGATATATAAATAGTAGCTTTGGTACTAATTAGTACAAGAACATTCACTTGTATTTCATACATCACACGAGAATTAATTAATTAATTGAACAAAACCTTTCAATTCTTATATAACAATGCTAAATTCTGTATATGAAAAGGTGATTAAACCAATGACTGAACTAGTGTTTAACTCGACGGTGAACTAGTAAGTGGTAGTTAAAGTATTGAGTGAACTAGTGAGTAAATGGGACTTGGTACTAGTTCAATCACTACTTAGTACAAGAGCATTCACTTGTATTTCATTTTTCTCTCGCAAGACGAGTTCATTAATCGATTAAAGACCTCCCAGTTCTTTTAAATTAGTGTTAAGTTTCTTATAAAGCAACGAAACTTTTTATTTTTAAACTAAAGTACAGACACTTTTTACATGGAAAACAAACAAAAATCAACATTGTTTTTACTCGAATTTTAATAAAATTTATTAAATTTTTAACCATTTTGTATTATTTTACTTACTTCTACCGACAACTTTCTACTTATCTATTACAAAATCTACCGAACTCTTCTTTATTTTAACTAGGGGGAAAAAACAGGAAGGAATTAAGTACGCAAGTTTGTAGCTCTGTGTAAAATTTATTGAGTATTTTAATAGTGAAATTCTAACAGCTGTTTCATTGATTTTTCTCTCTTAACTACAAAATTTCTCTTTCTCTCGCTAAAAAAACTGTGAAGCATCTGCATAACTCAATCATTTTTGTCAGAGTCGAACGAATTCTATAATAAAAAAATAAAAAAAATAGAAAAATTCTAGAAGTGCTATAAATTTTAACAGAAATAGCGACGTAAAAAAACTGATTTTTATAGTTAAAAAAATATATATAAAGAATAATTCAAGAACAAAATTTNCCGCCATTTTTTTTTACTACGTAATACGTATTTAAGCACGCATATCATTAAATTTAATTTCAAATCAGAAAGAATACTCAGGAATTAATTCATGTGCAAAATCGAGACGGTTTAATATACAGTACTTTTAAACCGTTTTTCTATACCCAAACACTATTTCAAGTGCACATATTAAAATTGTAGTTTACTGACGTTACAAGTGTGGTTAAAAGATTCAATTATTCATTTTACATCCTTAAACTTTAAAATTTTATATCATTGATAAGCGTAGAAGAAAGTAAAAACTAAAATAAAATTCAGCAACGAGTTGCGCAACTTTCCCGGCGAGAGTTAAAATTGTGTGTGGCGCCATCTGTTAGAGATTTTATTAAAAAACCTTTAAATTAATTAATTATTGTATTATAAATTGGCAAAAAGCTTAAGTTTGAGGGTAGAGATGAGTTTTGTTCTTAAAAAAAATTACAATTGCTAATAACGAGTAAAGTCTTCATTGAATCGCTCGCGGTACGACACAAGACCCCCCTTCTATCTCCTCACCTCGTCGACCTTTAACCACCAAAATTTAGTAGCATCGACCTCCCCAATAGGCAAACCTCCTTGCCAAATTTCAGAAATTTTCGACGAAAGGTACGAAAGTTATTAACCTTAAAAGTTAATGAGCCCCTACACACACAAAAAAAAACCCCAATTTTTTGCATTTCTCGACATTTGGAGGTGTAATTTCTACTGTACTTCTGAATAATACAGTATAAATAGTATAAATGAAGTACCCTAAACAGTTAATTTCTTACATTTTTAATAAACGAATTATACAGGATGGCCTAAAAGTCAGTAAACGAATGTATAGGGAAAAAAAATCTGTAAGAAAACATTCCAGAAAGAATAATTGCAAACTTAGCACTGCTTAGTTATAATATCAATTTATTTGATCGTCTTCACCAGCACACAAAGCCTCCACTATAAACTTACTACTACAAAACAAAGTTTTAAGGTTTTTAAATGTAAGAGAGAAGGAAAAAAATTTTTTACTACAATAATCACTTACAATTTCTATTGATCTTAATGTAACAAAGGATGGGATTACTATTTTATTGTAATATACGGGAGTATCTTCTTCACCTTAAAATAAATAAAATGGTGGTGTTTGCACGGAAGAAAATATACTGTAAGGAAAAAAAGAAATTCAACAAGATCGTTTACGAGTTTACTATTTTCTAAGAAATTTATATAAAAACTCATACACAACATATAATCATTCATAACAAAAGCAAAGTATGTCTTTTGTGTATTGTTTTTATCGTGCAATATATATATATATATATATATTTTTTATCTTGTATTCTTTTTATAAATGCCTTTTCTTTGGCCTCGGTAATAAGGCTTATGGCATTTTTTTTCTTTTTTGGGCTTCTCCATGTAGCTTTATCTGTTTTATCGCGAAGGACTTAAAGATAAAAGCGAATTTCTTGGAGCAAAAAACGAAACAATTGATGGTTCCGGCTTAGGTAGGTGATTGATCGTACCGTGAAAGAAAGTAGAAGTTGTAGGATTTCGACAACTCCCAAAAACAAACCGTCCGATTGATCCTTACGTCGATACTTCTCGGATGTGTTTTTTTTTATCTTTACTTTTATTATAATTAATGTGTTCGGACGTTTTCTACCAATCTGTTCGGCTGCCTGTCTGTGTGAATTTCGTATGAATCTATACAAAAACTTCATAACTGTTCTCTAGTACCTTTATAGTAAAAACAAAATAATTATTATCAGATTACGAGTGAAAAGAAGTAACTTTCTATAGTCGAACCTCACGCTTTGAAAGGCGCATAAAGTAACCTCTGAACAATGTTCTCTTCGGTGGCCGTCGTTCAGAGTTTCGACCGAAGTAAATTAACAATAAAAAAAATCGGATTTATAAGGGGATAGTTTTTGAAATTCACTCAAATTCACGGTCATTCTAACTGTTTCCACGTAAAAAAAAAAAAACTCTCTTTCCGGATTTACTTTTAAGTGCCACTTATTTATTAACTAAAATAAAATACACATATTCTCGGTAGATTCAAATTATTTGCATAAAACATTTAGCAAAATGAGAAAAATTGGATAAAGTTGCAACGTTATTCTTCAATTTGGAAATTAGTTCGGATGTCATTAATTTAAAAACGCTAAAAATAACATCTGGTATTTGTATTAATCATAAAATAATACACACACACACACATATATATATATATTGTTTTATTTTAATAAAATTTCATCACGATTTCTAGAAGAATAAATTAGTTTAAAATTAAAAACTTCTTATAATTAAATGCAGCACTTCTTTATTTATATGCAGTGACTGTTTTGTTCTTCAACAATACAAGTTCTTTTTCTAGGGCATCGTACGCGTCCGAGGACCTAAAAGTGTATGGCAGATGATCCTTTAAAATAACGCATAATACTAGTTACGATGTTACCCTTTGCACAATAGAGAAGTTGCGGCTGAAGTTTCTTTAAAACGTGAACGTCGGCCGCAACCTCTCTAATACCTTGTGTGATGCGAACTTCGCATTACCTAAATTTCCATAAAAGAGGGCCTCGTAAGTCCACATTTTTTCAAGGGCATCGTTCTTTTACACTCACAAATACTGAATATAACCTGTTTATCGCTTATAAAGTATTAAATATCGTGCATAAAAAAAGGGCTTCGTCGCCGTTTACATATTAGCGTGGTTGCGGCCGAAGTTTTCATCTTTAAAACGTGAACGTCGAACGTCGAGCGCTCTATCTTGTAAGCGGTGCTCGACGTTCGACGTTCGCGTTTTAAAGATGAAAACTTCGGCCGCAATCTCTCTGTAATTTAAATATTTTATAACGAATCTCGTTTAAAATCAGTCAAAATTTTTTTAACGAATTTCCAACTGTTATAGTGGCTTTAACGGTTTACAAACGGCTTAAACAGATAGATAAGTTGATAAAATTTGTATATTAAAAAAAAAAAAGAAAAAAAAAATGTGCTCCGAAAGAAAATAATCTCATTAAATTAATCATATTCTTTATCTTGTTTTATTCTACTCGGCGACGGAACATTCAGTGAATATAAAAATAAACAACGAGGAAAGCTTTCAACGAAGTACATACAATGAAAAATTTAAAAAGCAATAACATTAAGGATGCTATTTATTTTTTCAATAATTCAGTAATAAAGAAATTCCAGAGAATAAAAATTTTTTACGTGGAAAAATCGAAAAGCCATGCAGAAAAATATTGTGCACAACAGAATTTCATTAAAGTTTCCTTTAAAATTCGCGTGAAAACAATTACAAAATAAGAACAGCAAGAAGAAAAACGGAAATTTTAATATATTTCTGGTTATTTTTCGCGAAAATCGGCGAAGGATCGATAAGGAAGGGCGCGCAACACCGCATTTTAGATCATAATTACGGGGAGAATAACGTTAAATGTAAGAAAAATGGGGGGAGTTTTTTTTCCGTTCCGAACAACTCTCGGACACGAAAACAAGTTCCGTTCAACTCTGGCCCATTTGGATTCGTTTCAAAACGACGTAACTTCGTAACGGGATTGAAAGATACGACGGAGTCGAGAGATAATACACAGAAGAAACGGGAAGAGGCAAAGAAATGCGAGAAGGAAGACTTTAACAGATTGTGTACGATCCGAATGGAGATCGAGGAAAGTAAAGCTTCCAATACATGTCTCTTGACAGATCGATAAGGATAGGACGTTGACCTGGTGACATCCTCGAGCCCTAGAGAGAGAGAGAGATAGATAGAAGGCCAAAAGGGAGTTTTAAGTGCACCCAGAATAGTTAGAAAGGGAGCAGAGACTTAACTTTGTTTCCATTCCTATACCGGACCCGAAGAATCTAATTACAACTTGATGAAAAAAAAAAGAAAAATAAGATAGGGTAACTTCAAAAATAACTTTATGGCTTTTTTTCTTATCTGTTTCCGAAACGTCTTATTGAATTTTCCATTACGGCAGATTATTTTCCGCCTAAAAATGTATATTTTATCCTCCCCCTTCTGTTTTAGTCACTTTAAAGTATCTTCTACCCATTTTTATTATTAGTTTCGGCCAGAAACAACTGATATCATCTCCTTTTTTTTTCTAAATTTATCATTAAAAATGTGTATTTATGATACATCACCCGCTTGCAAAAAATAATATCTAGGAGATTTCTTAACAAACAACAACGCCGTGTTTACTTAAATTGAAATTAACCGACTACAATCTAATTTTCGCTCTTCTTAATTCGGTTTAATTAGAAACGAAGCAGAACGTGACCAGATGCAACTGTTAAATATATTACAGAACTACACACACACACATATGTATATATCAATTACACATTCAATTATAATCAATGAAACTTCATATTCTGTAATTAGTTTCTCGAACACTTACAATTAGCACACCTTAACTGAAGAATAACTCGCTTAATACGTCTTTCTTTAAATCGATACTTAACATTAATTAATCCCTGTTAATTAAATTAATTTCCAAGTTACGTGGGGGATTTTTATTTAAGTGTTATTATTAAAACGCGTTATTTTCGAAAGAATGCAGTTATTTAGCGGGCATAACAGAACTTAGAATGTTTCTTACAAGAACTCCTGATATACCTTCTACTGAATGTGGAGCCTCGTACCGTAGGCAGTTATCGATTGCACCGATGTTAAATGTCGATCTAGCACAATTGAAACGTGATGAATACGTGGAGAATTACAAATACAATAGGAAAAAAAAAGCAAAGAATAAATCAAGGTACTTGTAAAATCTTCCAAATTTCTCGATGGTCTCCTTTAAAAGATCTTTAATCTTTAAGTCCACTTAACGAATATTTTTCAAGAGTGGAATTTCTAGTGCTCGGCCTTACATCTCTATCAATTCTGACAATGAAGGTAATAGCTTTTAAAAACCTCTTAATGACTTGTCTCTGGAGTTTATTAATTCGGGTCGATGCCTGCGGTTTCCAAGCTGTCAAACAATCTTTGAAAGTTTAAGTCTAACCCTTCGATGCGGACATCCAATTAAAGTTTTAATGAGTAAAATCACTCGACGAAAAGATAAGTCGCGGCTCGAGTTCCGATACGAACTTCCCTTCTTTCGTAAACAAACAACGAGAGTTTTGTAAATCAACAGAAGTCGAGGAGTGTATAAAATGTTAAAAACGAATTTTATATTTAGAGATTGGAGTATAGGTAACGGCTTGGAAAAAATTCATTTATTGATCTAAACAATACGTGTTCGTAGAGGCAACAAAGAAACAAAGCAATAATGTGTTTTGTGATGTGATCTAAACAATCGAAATATATAAAATGGGATTTTGTTAGGTAAGATAAAGAGAAATCAATGTCAGATAACATTATTTGCAATTAATATATGGGTTTTTTTATTATTATTATTCGGTAACGACATGCAAAAACTATTATTTCTGCGAAAGCTAAAACACTGGAGTCGAAAACAGAACGGAAATATCTCACCAACGAATCGATAATAAAATAATTCTTACTTTTATCCACTAAAAATTTAATATCTTTGCCCATTTTTCTCATATCTGATACGAGATAAATTCCAATATATATATATATAAAGGAGGAGCCGCTTAGCTGGAGCATTGTCCATCCATCCCCTTACGTTAAATGCGTCTTAACACAACAACTGTCTCGGCTTAACGTGTTAAAATCCCTCTCGTATTATCCACATCCGATATTCACACGGCGGTAACATCTTTATATTATGCAATAGGAGCGAGAGAGTGTAGTTTAACGCTTACTAAACTCTCGAAAACAAGCTTTTTAAAGAGAGAAAAATGGTGTCATGACCGGGATAAACAACGTCATAATAGCTTAAAAGTAATAGTGTATAGTTGAGTCGATTAAATTTAGAATGCGTGTTTATTAATAAAAGAATGGAAAGAATTTTCAACACCAGCCACTCACCTCTGTTCCTTGTCGTCTAATGCGTGCTGTTTGAGCCACTGGCGTAAAATGAGTCTCTGGCGCAACTCGCTGCCCGCCAAAACCAGTGTGTGGCGTGTATGCGTCGGAAGACGAGACCACTCGCTGGACGAACGAAGTTGGTGGTGGTGATCGTGGGTTGGATCAATGGTGAGCGAAGCGGCGCATCGGACTAGATCCGTACAACCTGCCAAAATAAGAGACAAAAAAAAATCAGCTTCGTTTAACACCGAAGTGCCTCGTGCGCATCACCTTTAACCGTTACCAGAAAAATACACCCCACGTACAGTACTGTCGGGTGTAACGGTTAATACGAGTCGAAGCACTTAACTAAATTAAACCTTTCGCTAGTACTTTCTTTGTATTTAAAGCCCCGAATTATCGCGGGATAGATAAACAATACGTCACACCAAATGGAATTTTGGCTCCGTACGCTTATATATTGACCGAACGAATCAATGGAATCGCTGGTTACGGGCGCAGCAACAATACGAAATAGGAGAATTATTCAGAAATTTACTAATTTATGAATCTTGTTAGGGATTTCGTTCATTAATTTTGGCAATCGATAAATAAACGTTCGAGTGGCGATAAATTTATTAAATTCTGAAGTTTAGTGCGTGTATTTATATATACAACACGTTCTTCTAAATAAATAAATTCGGGCATAAATATTACTCGACTCTTAAAACGTGCATCTATTTATAACCCAGTTTAAGTACAAGTATACCTTTTAATAGAGTTTTTAGTAAATTTATTAATTAATAAACTCGCATGGTTATAACTTTAACCTAATTAAACTAAGTTTTAATACTGGTTAAAGCCGGATTTTTTTTTACTTGCAAATTTTTTTTTTTCGTAAATCTAAAGTGATATTTTATCATTTTAATAGCTCCCCTGTGGACGGATTATCATTATTTATACGAATAAAACTACAAAACTTTCATCGAAACGAATATAAACAATTATTTATCTCTTATAAAAGTCGTTAACTTAGCACGGGAACATTCATTTTTACTGCTTCGTTCACGGGATAAATCATTAATCGATCGATCAAAGCAGAAATATTTCTTTAAATTTTAATTAAATTCATTTGTTTTTCGAGCAACTCGCATCCTGTTATTTCTAAGAAACTAAACAGAAAGCGTAAATATTCTAAATAGGAATATTCTATGTAATATTTTAGTACTAGTTCCATTCGTTACTTAGTACAAGTGCACTTAGATTTACTTTTTTGCTGGTGAGATAAATCATTAATCGATTAACGACTCTTCAATTTTTCTAAAAAACAATGCTAAGTCCTAAAATAATAACGAAAATTTACTTTTTCAACGTTCATTTTGTAGCAAGAAGAAGTAAAAATTGATTCGATTTTTTTTTATTTTTATTAACTTAATAATTTTTAAATGATTTTAATCCTATTATTTTTCCAAGAATAAGCTCTCTTCCTACTAAACTCACACCTAAAAATTCCTATTTACGCTTCCTGTTTTCTTCTTACTCGACTGATATATAAATAGTAGCTTTGGTACTAATTAGTACAAGAACATTCACTTGTATTTCATACATCACACGAGAATTAATTAATTAATTGAACAAAACCTTTCAATTCTTATATAACAATGCTAAATTCTGTATATGAAAAGGTGATTAAACCAATGACTGAACTAGTGTTTAACTCGACGGTGAACTAGTAAGTGGTAGTTAAAGTATTGAGTGAACTAGTGAGTAAATGGGACTTGGTACTAGTTCAATCACTACTTAGTACAAGAGCATTCACTTGTATTTCATTTTTCTCTCGCAAGACGAGTTCATTAATCGATTAAAGACCTCCCAGTTCTTTTAAATTAGTGTTAAGTTTCTTATAAAGCAACGAAACTTTTTATTTTTAAACTAAAGTACAGACACTTTTTACATGGAAAACAAACAAAAATCAGCATTGTTTTTACTCGAATTTTAATTAAATTTATTAAATTTTTAACCATTTTGTATCATTTTACTTACTTCTACCGACAACTTTCTACTTATCTATTACAAAATCTACCGAACTCTTCTTTATTTTAACTAGGGGGAAAAAACAGGAAGGAATTAAGTACGCAAGTTTGTAGCTCTGTGTAAAATTTATTGAGTATTTTAATAGTGAAATTCTAACAGCTGTTTCATTGATTTTTCTCTCTTAACTACAAAATTTCTCTTTCTCTCGCTAAAAAAACTGTGAAGCATCTGCATAACTCAATCATTTTTGTCAGAGTCGAACGAATTCTATAATAAAAAAATAAAAAAAATAGAAAAATTCTAGAAGTGCTATAAATTTTAACAGAAATAGCGACGTAAAAAAACTGATTTTTATAGTTAAAAAAATATATATAAAGAATAATTCAAGAACAACACTTTAAAATATTAATTTATTTATTTTTACTCGTTTAAAATCAATTTAAATAAACTTAACACGATTCTAGAAGGTGTAAAATATGTTTCTGGAATGTTAAATTCTGTAATTTCACTCAATTATTAGCTTCAAAACTTGTAATAATTCGGAATTATCGTGAAATGCATTTACAAGAATTCTATATATTTCCAACCAGCAAATGTAGCGCTGTAAATTTTACTTGTACTGTACCTGTAGATTTATGTTACGTATACAGAGATACGAATCTCCATCAATTTATACATATAATTTATTTTCTCTTATCGTGACATATTTTTATAGTGTTAGATCAGTTGTTAAATGAGATTTTCAAGCAGAAATATCGATAATATCAACAAATAACATGAAGTTATAACCAATAATCCTGTTTGTACAACTGTACACTATTAATTAAACTAAGCACTAGTCAATAGTTTTCAACGAAATATAGTGTTGAGCAGCATCCTAACTCATTTTACGTGTATCGTTAAAGGTTTTTGTATGTAACTAAATTATAAAATATTTAATACCTTCGTAATAATTTTATTAAAATTACTGTATACATTCCCTTGTTATGTATACAAACAGGCCGGAAAAGTAAAAGATCCTGAAGTGTACTGAAGTTTAATATCAACTATAAATTAAGTCAGAAGTGTAATAATTCTATATATGCGGAACCGTATACAATTTAAGTAACGATAACACCGAATAACAGAGGATAAATCATGACAATTTCTACCAATTTATTTCCAGAATCTGTGCCGAAACAATATTTACTTACGAAATTTTTAAGCTTAAATCTGTCAGAAAAATGTGTCATAAACTGCAGCTGTTGACAGTAGGAGGGGGAAAGAGAAAAAAAACCGTTGTATAATTAACATTCCTATTTCGTTAAAGATAGTCATTAGTATTGAATGAATGGGAAAGTCCAATTCAGAAGAGGGGAGAAACTAATTAAAGCCACCCCTTTTTTGTGGAAAAAAAAATAGAAAATATTCCTATTATTTTGTATATCTAATTTTTTAAAATCTGTTTGTTTTATAAAAAAAAAGCTTATGTAATTGATCTGGAGTCGTGTTGGAACAAGTTTATTTCACTTTTTTGTTAGATCCCACCAGTGACAGAGTAGATAAATCCATAATTATTCGTGGGTTCGCTCCTGGCAAACGTGGAGTTTTCCGGGTTTTCGTCGCGTGAGTAATAAAGTTCTCCCGGGAGGAATCCCCTCGTCAGATCGCCAAGTGTTGTATTGTCGTAAACAAATATATAAAACCGCTTTTGTATTGCTAAAAATGATAAAAAAAACAATTCATTTTTAAATTAATAACACGTGACGACGTCACAGTAAGGGCACAAAAAAGATACGTCCCGATTTCGCGTGCAGTAAATCTCACCAAAGTAGTATAGAAAAAAAACAATATAAAATAATCAGCAGAGACGATAGCTCTTCGTTAAAACACAATCAATATTTTTCCATTTTAATAAATATTTCTTAAGAAACAGATACACGGTAAACGTGACGGACAGACATTCGTGAATTGCATACAGAAACGATAAAAGTGCCAATAAAAATACACCATTGCAATTCAAACTGACAGCATTAATTATTCATTTAAAGTAAATGTATAAGCGATTATTTCTATCAAACAGCTACAAAAATTAGCCGAAAACACCGCCTGTCCATCACATGGAGTTTAGCATACGTTTATTAGCAAAAATGTATTACATTTTTTAATATTAAAAAAAAAAAAAAAACATTTTTTCCTTATGTACTAAGCACCGTGAAGTACAAAAAGTAGTAGCATATAAACACACCATAGATGTATACAAAAGCACCATCTACAAATATAGCAAACTCAATCATACGCCTCGCTGCACAACTGGAGAACAAAGTAAACAATACAGAGAAGGAAACGAAGAAAACGGTAAATAAAAACACTTAAAGAATAGAGTAAAAGTTTACTTAAATAAAGCCTGAACTTCATATTCCTATTCTAGAGCATTAGGAAGGGGCTTAATAGTGCTATCGATTTGCTACAATGGCAAGACACATCCCTGTTATTACGCTAAGTGAAGGAACAAGTATGCAAGTTAATGGGGGAAAGAAATGTTAAACACTACTTACAGACAGAACAGAATTGTTTATAACAACTAGGAAAAGTCATGTAAGATATGAAGTCTGTTCATCACGCTGTATACATAAGAAAACGGTAGAAGAAACTCGTGAAGAAATTCTGTTTCAGTATACGTATAAAGAAAAAAATAATAATAAAATATATTATAAATGAATTCTGAAACTTTTGTCGCGTATAATTAAACGACATCCGCATATATTTGAACTAATTTAAGTTGTCGTAGTACAGGGTTCGGTTATTATTATTGTCAGATCGGAAGATTTTAATTATTAAGTACACCTAGAACGCAATCCATCATCCCGACTCGGATTTTCTCCATTATTTTAAATGTCACAACGGCTTCCCTTTCGAGTATCTTCATTTATTTTTCTTGTAGATTAAATCTTCTCGGATACAACCGAGAATTGATAGTGACGACAAGTTAATTTAATAATAGCGTAAAACGTTAATTAATTTCGTTTTCGAGATAATCGCATCCGTCCGAAATTTCTCACGTTAAAATTCGAAATTTCCGCATTATTTATATACGAGAATCGTCGACCTCTGACCCTGAATGTACTCTCTACAATCGAGATTTTCTCCTAACAATCTAGCCATTATCAATGGTGTTTGTAGGTCGATCGGGAGAAGAAAAGATCTAAATAT